GTCGGCCCTGGTTTTTTTTTTTATTTTTTTTTTTGTTTTTCATTTACTGCTTTCTATGCCAATTTGTAAAATATTTTTCCAGATAAAGAACAACTAGCTATAATGGCTTCGACAAACCAGTCTGAAAGCGTTGCTGCTACAGCCTCACCTGCCCCCGCTGGCAACGATGGAATTACAATTGAATCGGTCAACAGAATTTCAAAAATTCCTGTAGTCGAATCTACCATACAAACGGCTACAACTATTTACGAAAAAATAAAGGTAAATAATAATTTTCTGTATTTTATTTTAAATTAGCTCCCCCGCGGTTATTTGATTCTTTAATTATTCTTCTAGGAGTAAAAGTTGAATATATTAGGTAATTGCGTATAGATAATAAAAAACTTTTTTTTCAATAAAAATTTTACAGTAATTGGTATGAAATATTTGTCGTCTATCTATACTCACGTATCAATAAATCGATAACATTGATTCGAACATAAAATCCTGTCAGAAACGTTGGTGATTTAATTGATTGCAATGTAATTACTGAAACTCTAACATGAAAACTGCGAAAAATCAGAAGGACTATTCACATATTCATTTAATTTTATCAACGATTAAAAAGATATTAATGACGATGTTAAATTCTAAATTAAACGTTTTTAATATAAATCTAAAATATTTTCTTTTTAATGAAAAGATAATTTTGTAGATTTCCTCCCATAAAGACAAACTTTATCTCTTTTTACAATGGTGTAAGTTAATAAAACTTAATGAAAGTCTTTTTTATTAAAGGATTACAACACTGTAACACACTGGACTTTATCAACTGCTGAAAATACAGTTCATAAGGCCATTGAAGTCAGTAAACCCATTACATCTCCTGTGGTTCATACTTTAGAAGGCCCAATCAAAAAAGTAGACGAAATACTTTGCAGCGGGTTAGACTACGTCGAATCTAAAGTACCCGCCATAAAACTACCCCCTGGAGAGGTATGTAACCTCCTTATCGTTATTTTTTACATCGCTTATAGCTATTTCGTATCAATACGCATCTCACAAAACGTTTGATGAGCACTGTACATTACATACGTTTTTAAGTACAGTGCAATTCAAAAATAATGTAACGCTTATCGCTATCCAAAATGACTAATAAGATTTATTTAGATATTATTACAGATTTACAACAACACAAAAGAGTACATAGATCATAATGTAACACCGAAAGTCCAAAATGTGTACAGCACCGTCGAACCAACAATACAAACGGCCAAACACATGGTCGAACCTGCTATTCAATCGGCCAAAAATATTGTTGATCCGGCCGTTCAAAGTGCTAAGAACGTAGTCGAACCTGCCGTACAAACCGCTTATCACTTGGTTGAACCCATCGTACAACCTGCTGTTGATAAAGTAAACCAAATTTTACATCCTCATCCCGAACACAACGCAAATAATACTGGTAAGAATACATATAAAACGTAATTTATTCTTGTCAATCGTTAAACAAGAATTCCTTTCTCAGAAACACCTGAACAATCTACTGAATGTCCAGAATGTCCGTTAAATTCTAATTCAAATTCAAAGAAAAATGAACATCAGCAATAATCGATTAATATATTTTATGGCATTTGTTCCTTTTAGTTTCTGTTTTTTTGTATCTTTTGTTTAAATGTTCTTTTTTTTTAGAAAGACTGTATTTGTATTACGTCTGTATTTTGTACTACTCGCCTAAATCTACTTACTTTTATATTTTTATTAAACATGCAATACTTTTAGCATCTATTTCAATAAAATAATATTCGTATATACATAACTAAAAAGGTTTTTTATTTAATTTTCACTATCCTTAATGTATAAGTAGTTAATATTTAATTTATTTATTTTCGTACAAATACGATACGATATATCTTGATTAAAATTTCATTTTAATTCGCTTCTATACCAACACATTTGCATTGCTTAATCTTTTCTACCCTTTTTTTCTTATAAAGTGGAACTTTTTGTGGACAACGCAACAAAACTGTGACCCAAACGGTTCTTCTAGGTTTACAAAAGGAACACGATTTAAAGGCCGATTCCTTCGGGACCTTTTCTTCTTCGTTTGAAGAGATCGGTATATAAAATGAGTTACATTGACCGTAACAAAATTTGTTAATTATATTTTTAGCCAAACACCCTGGTTCTTTAATTCTTTGTATTAAGGGCTCGGTTTTACACCAATCCTTTTGAAGGTATTCCTTCTTGGTTACTAGAAGGGCATTTTTCGATGATTTTAACATTTTTCTACCGTTCATACCTTTTAGTAAATCTGATTTTGAAGAAATTTTCACCGGTACGTTTTTACAATTGCTTTTGTTATCTGACATGTTATTTTTTACGTTAACATTTGTTTGCAATTCTTCTATTTCGTTCTTGTAATAGTAGTTTTGACGTGGTTGCTTTTCCAGCGAAGATAAGTTTCTTTTTCTGTCTTCTAAAAGTTTCTGTACATGCTCTACATTGATTAATTCCATTATTGAGAAGTCTTCTGTTTTTTTGGCTCTCGAAACAGGCAGCGCAACCCCCACTAGTACGATTTGCAGAAACGGTCCCCACTGAAACGTTAACAAGATTCTTTAAAGTACATTCCTTACTAATTATAGGGAGATATAATATATTTCAACAAAAATATGAATATTACATAGATGCTATCGGTCAAAATATTCAATTGTATTAAATATGTTTTATATTCTTGCGATATTTTGCGATGTTGAACGAAAGGATTCATAGTTTCAGGTCCTTTTTAACCAATTGTCAAATTATTGGCTTGAAAATTTTGCTCATTACGTATACATACCTAGGGGTTCAAACTAATTTAAAAAAATTACGATGTACCTAAGCGCGGCAGGATGTCGTGAAATGTATTTCGCGAAATCGTAGGGAAAGATTTATATACCTGTTTTAACCATTTTTCAAATTTGATTGCGCAAAATATCGCTCATTACACTCAAAACTTAATAAATGCTTTCCATTGCCCAATAATTTCACTAACGCTCTTTTGTTTAAAGTGTTCCATATATTTTACCACAAATATACAAAATCTGAAGGTACTTATTTGACAACGCATTCTGAAACAGTTCTCTAATTATTTCACGAAAGCTTTTTTATGTTTAAACTATTTTATATATTTTAGTCAAAATAATACCGGAAGGTAATTATTTGGCATTGCACTTTGAAGAGGATTTGTTAATTTCATTAGCAGGAAAGTAAGAAAATCTGTAGTCCGAAGTCCGTGCGGCACTGCTTTATGGCAAAATAACAGAAATTTATTAAATGTAAAAAAGCGCTCGTTAAATTTCTCTGAAGTACAGAGGATTTAGTAAACTATAAATTGTTATAAGTATGTAGAAAAGTGTGTAGAATCTTATGGTACCATTAGTTTTCCAGTCCGGTTTCAAGAAAGTACGGTGCGGCACTGCTTTTTGCCAAAATAATGAAAATTTATTAAATGTAAAAAAGCGCTCGTTGAATTTCTCTGTAATAAAAAGTGTTTGGTAAACTATAAATTGCAATAAGCATGTAAAAAAGTGCGTAGAATCTTATGGTACCATCAGTTTTCCAGTGCGGTTTCAAAAAAGTAGCGTGCGGCACTGCTTTATGCCAAAATAATGAAAATTTATTAAATGTAAAAAAGCGCTCGTTGAATTTCTCTGAAATAAAAAGTGTTTGGTAAACTATAAATTGCAATAAGCATGTAAAAAAGTGCGTAGAATCTTATGGTACCATTAGTTTTCCAGTGCGGTTTCAAAAAAGTAGCGTGCGGCACTGCTTTATGCCAAAATAATGAAAATTTATTAAATGTAAAAAAGCGCTCGTTGAATTTCTCTGAAATAAAAAGTGTTTGGTAAACTATAAATTGCAATAAGCATGTAAAAAAGTGCGTAGAATCTTATGGTACCATTAGTTTTCCAGTGCGGTTTCAAAAAAGTAGCGTGCGGCACTGCTTTATGCCAAAATAATGAAAATTTATTAAATGTAAAAAAGCGCTCGTTGAATTTCTCTGAAATAAAAAGTGTTTGGTAAACTATAAATTGCAATAAGCATGTAAAAAAGTGCGTAGAATCTTATGGTACCATTAGTTTTCCAGTGCGGTTTCAAAAAAGTAGCGTGCGGCACTGCTTTATGCCAAAATAATGAAAATTTATTAAATGTAAAAAAGCGCTCGTTGAATTTCTCTGAAATAAAAAGTGTTTGGTAAACTATAAATTGCAATAAGCATGTAAAAAAGTGCGTAGAATCTTATGGTACCATTAGTTTTCCAGTGCGGTTTCAAAAAAGTAGCGTGCGGCACTGCTTTATGCCAAAATAATGAAAATTTATTAAATATAAAAAAGCGCTCCACGAATTTCTCTGAAATGAAGAGAGTTTGGTAAACTATAAAAAGGTGTAGATATCTAAAAAAGTGCGTAGAATCTGGTGGTGCTAACAGTTTTTGAGTGAGTTGCCAAATAAGTACTTTCTGGTATTAATCTTTTGTTATAAAATAATTAAAACACAAAAAAGGCGCTCGTGGAATTCTTAGAAGATGGAAGGTATATATTTGGTTTCGAGAAAAGATAATTATGTAAAAGGGTACGTGTAATGTAATGGTGCTAACCATTTTCGGGTTCGTTGTCGAAAAAGTACTTTTTGGCATTATTTTATGTAAAATATATGAAATAATTTAGACATAGAAAAGCGCTCATAAAATTATTGGGAGATAAAAAGTATTTACTAGGCATTGAAAAGTAATGACAATTTAAAAAAAATTTATGTCACTTCCGCTGGAGATGTTTAGTTCCTACCTACTTATAAGACTTAACGAAATTATTGATTTGTAAACCGGAAGTTTCTTTCTTCATTTTCGCATACTCATTTTAAAATAAACCAAAATCCTACATTCGGGTCATGAATCACCTCAAAAAACGCATGGACTATTTATTAAAATATAAACATCTTTTCACGTAATTACCCAATAACATTGACTATAGACTGATTTGCAAAAGATTTATCTCACTTTTAAATAGGTGACGTTTTTGAATAGTTAGTCAGACATGTTTTATCCTATTTCTGATATTCTTATTACGTCTTTGACTAATTAACATTATAATAGTTTAACTATTTAAACAGTGACGTAAATTTATTGCTCCTTTTTTTTTTGTTGAAAGGGAGAACCATCTTCTTTTCAGGAAAATAATCCTAAATCTTCATTCAGATCACGTACTTGCTCATATACAAAGACATAATCCACTAATTCGGAAAGGTATTATGGGTATGCCGAATGTGACACACACAAAATTTAAATACGATACCCTTACAGTAGTAAAAATAAGGAATATTCCTTAATATTACCACAATGTAAGTAAGCTATGTAGTAGCATTTTGGAGTAACTGGTAACCAGATATATTGTGTATTAATGTGCAGTTAAAAATATATTGATTTTTTTTATAACAATTCTAAATCTGATATCATAGTTTGCATACAAGGTAGATGATGTCACCTAATGACATAAAGATCCCATTATATGCTTAGGATCGTGTGCCCATTGTTTTCAATCGATTACTTAATAACAATAATTTCGAAGATCATTTTTATAACAAAAACTGACATTAATTTCCTTTGTTTTTATTACACAATGCTGTATAGACAGTATGTCCAGAATTCGATAACGTTTTTGTCATATCATATCAAGTACTTACATTCATTTATTTATTTATTTCTAGATTGGACAAATTTTTATTTCATCAAGTATTTACCACAAATATTTTTTTTTAAATACTGAGGTACCTAAAATATTAACCCTTCTTTTTAGCATCATTGTTACCCATTATCGTTTAGATTAAAAAATTATAAAACTTTAAGCACACCATACAAAATAAAAAAAAATATTAGTCTTATTTTCTACTTACTTACCTTGCCAAACATTTTCACTTTTGAGAACGTAAATCAAAAGATATAATGTATATTTATACACTTATTACTGATCAATTAGGGGTAGATTTTATTTTTAGTAAAAGTAGCAAAGTTTTCTTAAGGCGGTAAAAGTATTGAATGAACAGAACGAGATGGGTTGGCTTGCAATTTAAAACCTAGCGACATGAACCACCCCCACAAAAACCCACCTAACTCTGTTAGACGTGTTGTTTATATTATTACTATTTTATGGTAAGAAAGTGACTGTTTCTAAAGATGATTTTCAACCACATACGTTTTAATTGTTTATTGAACACGTTTTACCCACTTATTTGCACGTTCAAAACAAAATGCAACAACTAATATCGAAATGAAGCAATCAAACCTAATTGAAAGTTTTATTTTAGTTCACATTAAAAAAAAAAAGAAGACGACTTACTAAAACATCTGCAAACAGAAAAATTTGATTGCAAAAATTGATGGTGTAAATCTACACTATCTAAAAGCCCAATAAAAACAATTTTCAGATTACCTTATTAAAACAAAAGAAGTATTAGATACAAAAATCTTTTGTTAAGGCGGGTTTTATCGAGTTTAAAGGTTTTTCCCCAGAATAGAGTACAAAAGAAAGTTATTATGTCATTTGGATAGCTATAATTTTTATTGTCTTACAAAAATTTCCCTTATATCCAAAAAATTGAGAACTCACATTTTTTGCCTTTATATTTCCTAATATCCAATAAAATTTCGTTTTAATTTGTTAAAAAAAAACAACTAAAAACCGAAATATAAATTTTGATATAAAAATTTACCAATTTCGTGTTTTTTTCTTTTTTTTGCATTTTCTGTTGATGGTTTTGTAAAAGGTAAGGGATAACAAATAAAGACATACACAATAGAAAAATTAGTATGCTTTAAGAGAATACATTTATTTAATAAATTTCCATTTAGAAAGAGAACACAGATTGAAGAACAACAGCCGCACAGAATAACATTCTGCATGCATGCTAGTACATTACTCTTTATAATTATGATTTAAAGAACATCTTATATTTTTTAAGATAACATACATCTCTGTAAAGGCTACATTTACGTTAACAAGCTCAAACATTATTATATGCCTTATAACAGCAAGAAATGACTATATAACCACTGCTATTATATTTATGTGTTATATTATACGATATATAGTGTTTTTTTTTCAAAAGTATTCAACATCATAAACGCTGTTGTTTTATAATTTGAAATTGCATAGTGGCCGTTGAATACGACGTCGTTTGGTGAAAAATCGATTAGACAATTTCAGAGGGTGCTTATGATTTTGTTATCAGTTCTTAAATGGTGGTAGGAAACGTTTGATAAAACAGCCAATTTTCGTCAAAAGTTCCGGACCATATAAGAAACAAATTCGAAAATCAATAGGGCCTAAGAACACCAACTGAAACTGACGTGGCATCGTTCGTGAACTTTTTATTATCCGGTCTCTCAATCCAACAATTATAAAAAGAAGAATGTCAGAAGCGAGAGAGAGAACAACGACAAATTTCGAATCCGACTTTTTTGCGTGACAGAGAAAAAGATGCAAAAAAATACGATTCGACAATCGCGCGAGAAACAAAAGACGTTTTGGCGTCATTTGTTATTACAATATCGACATCAATTAATAGAAGAAAAGCGCACACATTTCTTGTTCTGCTTTAAAAGTATGGGGTCTGTTTGCGCAATATACAACGATATAAAAACCGCTTATCATTATTATTTAATTAATTAATTAAATAGATAATCAACATCGAAACTTCATCTATCCCTTATTATTATTACTTTAGACAGTGAAGAATTTTTAAAATATTTTCACAAACAACTATTAGGTATCATCATTATCGTTATTATTATTATTATTAGGTCTGGGTGTTCTGTGCGTATATATATAGGGTGTACGGTGTCAGAAATTCCAAAAGGGTGGAGAGGGGTTTCAATATAATTCACCTATGTTAACTATTTATTATGAAATAGATAGTAGCTTCAATAATCTTAATCCTTTTCCATAGCCAAGTCGTCAATGTTTTAGCCTCAATTATGTGTAGCATTTATTATTTTATTCCGATAAATCAATATTTATTGTTGTGGAATTTCATGTTATAAAAAATAAGAAACTGGCACAACAACAAGTGACTATTTTTTACCACTCAGAAATTCGTTTGTTAAATAAGACTTTTGTTATTAAAAGTAGATGGTCAAGTGATTTAGAAAACTACGTTGTTACCCTTTTTGGCAGCCACTGGTAGACGTTCACCTACCAAGAAAGGATTTTCTTTTGCTTCCATCTGAAAAAACAAATGATTTCTAACTTTTTATTCGATTATTTATTAGAAAGAAATCACGTAACATGTGCCTAGCTAATGTAAAGAAACAGTACCAAATTTTGGCCCCACAGGGATAATCGATCAAAATGATAATCAATGTTATACCTAATAAATTATATCTAGAGATGTGCAAAATGGTTTTTTAAAAGTTTTTAAATACAAAATGCTAATACTTTTTTGATTTGTTATTTCAAATGTAAAATACGAAATAGATTTCCCTTTTGAATTTTAAATGCTAAATGCAAAATACGTATTTTCAAAATACTTTTTTCAANTTAAGTATAAAATATTTTTTAAGAAAACCTTAACGACATTTGCTCATTTCTTAAGTATTGGAGTTTTTCTAGACTAATAGTGGTGTTTGCACCAACTGCAAAGATTGAGATGATTCATATTTTTCAGTTTGAAGTGATTGAGATATAATTTTGCTATCTTTATGTTCCATATGTTAAATCACATCTCTATTTATATCATAATTAGTTTTACCCTAACAATTTCGTTTTTTTGTTACAGGACTCCGATGTTTCCGTACCTACCTGTGATACAAGTACTTTGGTGAGTACAACAATTTCGAAAACTTTATTTATTATTTGAATTTATAATTACAATTCTGTTTGGTTCACAATTTTTAATTTATTTTTTTCGAAATATGTATTAAAGTCATGGCTTTATTGTTCCGTAGATAATTTTACAAAATTCGTTATCTTAGATTTCTCAACGTATAAATTTCAAAATTCATTCGAAAAAATTTGTTAATCCGTATTGCTTTGAACTTTTTAATATATACATTAATAATAATGTTTCGAGGGAAAAGGGGACTGAAAATTTCAATTACCTCAGAGGCATTCTACACTACTTGAAAATGGTATCAAACAATATTAAATGTATTCCCTTTTCTTTTTAATGAAACTCTGCATGCATTTTCTTTTGGTTCTACTATTGTTTAGTTGCTAAGCTACTAAACTACGAATGATTAGCAATTGTTTTTAAAAAATAAAACAGTTGATTACAAAGAAATAAACAAAAGAATAGCGTAAACCTCGGTATCATTTTGTTATGTATGGTTTATTGAAAATTCCTGAATGCAAAAGCTAAACAAAAGCATCATTGCACATATGTATAGATACTCTCGCCATTTAGAGAGTTTTTGAGTATTACGTAAGCAGAATTTTGTTGATTTTAGATCACCCTACTCCCTTCTCCAAATGATAAGACATAATATGTTTTTAAAAAGTTTTTATTAAAATCGTTCAAATTATCTTCGAGATTAAAAAGTTTCTCTATTTTTAAGCTGAGTAACTGTAGAACCATAAGTAAAACAGCGAATAAGACAAAGGAACTTACGGGAAGTTTCCGGAAATAGTCAAGAATAGTCGACGGCTATATAAATAAGTAACCAACATCCGGCAAGATATAAACAATATGCTAACTAGAAAATTGAACAATAAGCTAAATAATTTGAAATTATCAATTATTTTACGTTAGATATTTTATAGTTCTTATCCAGTGTAAGATTTAAAAATTGAACCCCTAAACCCCCTACGTATGCTTACGTAATATTTGAATACCCCGTTACGTAAAACTAAAAAGAAAACAACTACCAAATCCTCTAGTTTTATAACAAATCTATTACCTTGCCCTTCTTTGCAACAATTTTATGTTGCAAGCCACGTGCATCCTGGAATATAAAACAATAAAACAAAAATTACAATCGATATCGTAGATAACAAGTGAAACTAAGCGCGATTATCTATTTTTTTCTACCCTCTGAACAACAGACGTACACATAGACAGACCTGTATAGCACCTTCGAGGAACTTGTTGAATTCTAAAGGATCGAAAGAATCAATTCCGGAATTGTCTGGTCCTGATGACACAACAGGATTCGGGCAATCAAACATATGCTCGCTATCGCACATACAATCTTGGGCTGCCTGATATTTCCTACTAAACGATGCGCTATTTTCAAATTCTTCCAGACATCCGTGTTCGGCTGAAACAAAAAAAAAATTTCAATAGATATCAGTTTGGTTGTAAAAGTTTTTGGAAGAATTTTCGAAATATTCTAAATAACTCCACATCATTTCACGTACCTGAGTATCCTATCGGGCAGGGGTTTGGAGGATTACAATAAGCTGGCAAAGTCGAGTCCGTTTTTACTTCCTGTTTATTCTTAACACTTCCTTCGGGTCTCAAAAGTTGCTTTCCCTCCCCAGCACCACCGGACATAAGCTGACTTCCCCACAACGAGCTGTGCTGTAAAAACTCCTGATCCCTTAGACTGGGATGAATTCTTCCCTTTGACCCTAAACGATTGTAATTGACTGGTAGCAGCTGTTCGTCTTCGAGATCACCCACAGCTCGATTCAATGATCTTGCATCCAAAGGTCCCAAAAGATTGTCAGAAAACTCATAGTAATTGTTATTTTCGTTCATATCCTTCCCCATTCTATTGAATACTTCGCGTAAAAAAAGGTCCGATAACATAGCTTCCTAAAAAAAATTTTTTTGTGGAAAATTGTAATAGATACGCTGTAAATTACAAGTCGTTACCTTTCCTGACGGAAAATAGCCCCATATTCCGTTGGAAAAACAAAACAGTAGCAGAATGATCATATTTTTCCACCTTATGAACAAAAATGGACACTTTTAACACTTTTGTTTATGCAGGAAAAAAATGAATGGGCTAAGAAAACTTGAATGAACCACCTGTTAAATCATTGGCTTTACACACGACTGAATTTTTACGTGTTCTCTTGGCAAATTTACAAAGTCTACTTTAAATTTTAAAAGAACGCTCCAAAGCTTTTACAACATTTCGAACAAAACGGGTAAAATCAAAATTCAATACCAAAGTGCAACAAATAATTATTTGTTCTTTATCTTTCGCAAAATTTTATAATCCTTCACCTTCCTTCGTCATGCATAAATACCAAACAAAAAGAAAATTATTTATAGTATTTATTGTTATAAAAGTAGCACATAACAATACTCACTTTAAGCAAGGGGTGGTATGAGGGTTATTAACCGAATTAGGTACGAAATGTGTGGAATTTTGGTTTTGTCCAAGAACAAGTAAATCAATTTTGTTTGCGCATCCACGTCATGGGAAAAGACTGCGACTGTCGAAGCTTATAAAATCAATAAACTAACATTATAATGTAAAAATCATTCAGTAGAAATAATTTACTTTTTATATTTTCTATAAATACTTATCAAAAAAGTCAATATAATTATATAACTTTCATTACTTTTTGTACTTCTATCTTAATAAAAAAAGATGATTTTTAAAACGAGTGTTAGAATCTCAAAAAAAAAAAACAAAAAAGAATTCAAATCAATGAAATCAAGTCACCGCTGAATTTAAAGGGACGAAAGCAAAAATTGTCTAGTATAGGGCTGAATATTTTCCCGCCCTTCCTTCTGCAGCTTCTTCTTATTGTTCTTGATGGTGTGACGCACTTAAAACCGTTAAGACGTTAATGTTAACCTCTAAAATTTTTTGAGGGTTTGCAAATTAATAAATTACCGGCTCATAGTTATTACATTAGTGCAGTTTAAGTTCTTTGTTACAGTTTCTGTGATATTTGGAATTAATCAGGTATTACTTATAATTTTGTACGTCCAATTATTTATTTCATTTATCAAGTTATCTAGCAATATCCTTTCAAAATTTACTGTTTACTTGTATTACACTTTTTTTATAAAAAAAACATATAATACCAAAATTAATTAATAATATAACTATCAGAAATGGATAACTCTTGTGAAGACTCAATTGTTACATTGGGGGAAGTGTTGGAAGCCGAACAAGAGATGATTGAAGATGCTAATGCTGTTTTGGGAGCTGGAGATGACAAAAATTGTACCTATACAGAAGTAATAATTGATTTACATATTACATACACTGATAAATTAAGAGAACTTTTGACTTTTACGCAAAATATAATTTTAGGGCTATATGAAGAGACAACCTCTCTATGCTTGTTTAACTTGCATTCCAGAGGCTAAAGAGGATCCTTCAAAACGTGCTGGTATTTGTCTCGCCTGTTGTTATCATTGTCATGATGGACATGACCTCATAGAATTGTACACTAAAAGAAATTTCCGTTGTGACTGTGGTAACAGCAAATTTCCTGCAAATACTTGCAACTTGAATAAAGCCAAAGATAAAGAAAATGTTTTGAACAACTACAACCAGAATTTTTCTGGTATGGATGATATTTTGCATTGGTTTAAAGCTTAGTATAACTTTGAATTATGTTCCTCTCAGGTGTTTACTGTACTTGCAGCAGACCGTATCCTGATCCAGAAGACAAGGTATCTGATGAAATGATCCAGTGTGTTATTTGTGAAGATTGGTACCATACTAGACACCTGGACTGCAAACTTCCACCTATGAACTCCTATGCTGAGATGACATGCAGGAGCTGTGTTGAAAAACATCAGTTCTTATTGCACTACGATAACTTGTGCATTACAGTTCCAAAAGATGCAGGAGATACTCCAGTTGAAGTAGAGAATACTGAAGACAAAAAAACAGATGATTTAAATGAAAGTAAATCTTGTGATGACTCACAGAAAATCGATGAAACCAATGAAAAGGATTCTGCTGCTAAGGAAAATGAAAAGGATTCTGCTGCTAAGGAAAATGAAAAGGTGTCCGAAAATACTGAAAAGAATGATGCCATCATTGAAAACAACGAAAAAGAAAACAATATAAAGTCTCATGAAGAAACTAAGCCTATTGAGGAAAATGGAGCCGTAGAAACTGAAAAAAAGGAAGATACCAATAAGGTAGAAGCCGAAAAAGAAAAATCTCTGAAACATGAAGGTGACGGTGAGGCCGTTACTGAAAATGAAGAAAAAGTTTGTATAAAACCAAAAGAAAAATCAGAAAATATTTGCGCCAAATTTTGGACAAACGTGAACTGGAGACAACAACTCTGCACCTGTACTGAATGCTTTAATATGTACAAGGAACAAAACATTCTGTTTCTAATTGATGCAGGAGACACTGTCCAGTCTTATGAAGAAAAGGGAAAAGCCAAGAGCCTAGAAAATGCCCAAAAAGTAGAAGAAGACAGTATCAAATTTCTCAATTCAGTTAACAGAATTCCACTCATGGAAACTTTGGCTGCCTACAACGATCTAAAAGAAAATTTAACTGATTACCTAAAAAAATTTGCTGAGAACAAGAAAGTCGTCAGAGAGGAGGATATAAGAGAATTTTTTTCAGAATTTGAGTCTAGAAAGAAGCAGAAAGTTGAAATTCCTTCAATGTGCCGATAAGAATCACACAAACGCTCTATGTATTCCATTTATCTATTAATTAATATCTGAATCTTACATTACATTAATTTTTTTGTATAACATCAGTCTTTTAATTTTTTATTGAATAACACTACGTTCACCAGAATTTCCTCAGAATGGCCCTCACATTGAATGGAGCATAAACGGAATGTCCAAATCTCTTTTTCCATGCCCAAAATACACAGATCCATATCTAGGCGTTTTGATATAGTGATAAAAGAAGTATCCAGGCCAATATAAAGATTCCAATACAGCAATAGTTTCCCCATTGCATGTTTGAGTTACCCAACATCCATCAGGTACATCAGTGTCTAAAGTATCCAAAAAATCTAAGGCATAATTATAGTCTTCTCTCGTCAGTAAATTGGTGTTCCACTTATAATGTGGTCTTCTATTATGTTGAAAAGGCCTCAATTCGATCGAGTCTAAATAGTCTAATCCCTCAAAACTTAAATTTTCAACCACTACTCCATCAGGCCTCTTAAAAAATCCTCCTCTTGGTATTAACGTTGCTTCTTCGTTTATAAAGTGTATGGTAGCTGAAAGACGATCCTCTTCCTTAAGTTTACGCACTTCTGGCTTCTTGAGGGGCTTCCCAAATGCAATTTCATCTTTTTCTAGTAAAAGGTCGATCAGTATCGCAGGATCCCCTTGGAATTTTGTTGTACAAAGAGGAGTCAATTTTTTTCCATTCTCTGTAGGCAGTGGTAGAAGACCCCAATCCACTCCGTTTTTACTGTAATAAAAAATTTTACCCTCTAATGCGTCTTTTACGTAACCATAAGCCACATAATAATCGCGATCGGTTCCAAAAATCCTCCCCCAGAAATATATTTTTCGAAAATGATTTTCGTTTTGTAATAATAGTAACGAATTGTGCAAAATTAAGCTTTCTTCGGTACTTATAACGTTTCCAAATCGACCTAACGTTTCTAAAGTATTCAGAAGGGAATCTAATTCCATTTTTGTAATTATTAGATAAAAAGTCAATTTTGACTTTTCTCGGTTTTATTTATTTGTTTAATAGAATGAGAAGAAATGTCAATAGATTTTTGTTAGATGCAAAAAGTGTCAATGCCGTTTTTATGTTAATTTATTGAATATTTATTAAATTAAAAAATTAATTTAAGCAAAGGTTTCAATTTAATTTAAAATTGCCGCAAAAATTGTCAAAAGCTTGTTATCACCATTCGCCGTCCTCATGTCGAAGCGCTGCAGTCAGTGCAGAAATAATATTAGTGTTGTAGTGAAGGTGTAAATCACAACGTAATAAGAATAAGACATTTTATATTGTTAAATTAGCTTTAGTTGTTTAATTCGTATAATTATACAAATTATGAACTTATTAGTTAGTGGTCATGTAAAGTAATTGGAGAGGTAAGTTAACTATTTATATAATGCGATGTGTTGAAACGGTGTCATTTTTTACCTTGATGTTCTTTTCAAAAACAAAGAACTAATCAAATTGCTTTATTTCTTGATGTCTTTCGTTTATGTTGCTAATTAAATCGCCAAGTTTTCATTGTTAATTGGTAGATTATCAAAAATTTCGCAATTTTTGTCGATGTTAAACACAGGATGTGTGATGCGTATAGCAGTGGTTTTATCGAAAATCATTAGTAATTTCAACATTCAACATATCAGTTCGCTTAAATATTAATTGTCCTGGCAATTAAGTGTTGACATTATTATAATTCCTACCTATTTTAGAAAATTCAGAGGACTGCACAACCGTGCTCGAATGGTGAACCAAAAGGTCACATGCTAAGGTAAGAATGATAGTCAAGAAAGTATAAAAATATTTGCTTCTAATTAGGCGTATATGTCTTATTTTCCGTAAATTGTAAGCACACGGTCATTTAATTAAGCAAATATAATAAGTTCAGTTATAGTGTTAATTTTAATATATGTATAGGTAATGTATGTTGTTGTTCTATCCTGACAGATCATTGTAAAAATTTCATGTTTTTGTCATTAGAAAAAGTTTTCTTGTATTATCGATGGAATACCTTAATTTCTTTATCAAATGTCGATTTCACTACGAAAGTAAGTGCTCTAACACTTTGTGTCAATTTATTGTTAGCCTTGTGGCCCACACGCGATTTAACTGGCCATTGACTTTGTTTTATAGTGTCATCAAATCCCAATAATTGTGATTTATTGTTTTTTGTTCTTCAAAACTTTCCTTTTCTTGCGAAAAGAGTTGCTCGTTCTTTTTCATTTAAAAATAGAATTTTAATATACTTAGGTTTTTGTGCCAAAAAAAGAACCCTTTGTTTTTAAAATTGTGTATCCGCATATAAAAATATAACGTGCCTAATTTTTAGAACTTTTCTTCGTTTCTCAGGTACCTATTTAATTTTTCTTTCGTGGATATGAAAAGCAATTTAATGTTTTTCTAAAATCAGACATCATTCGTTATATTAACTCGCTATTACAATAATTGCGTCTCTACCAGGCACCTACCATGTCGCAGACATTTATATAGGTAATTCATTAAATACTACACCGTAACATATATAAATAATGGATGCACGAAACAGTATTTATTTTAAATCGATTTTATGCTATTCCATTAAAATTTTTCAATACGTCCCAAGAACCCGGTTGATTCTTGTTGTGTATAAAAAAACTGAAGTTCATGTAAAATAAGTACAACAGAAAAAAACGTGGGTACGTAATTTAAAATTTTCATAAAGCTATTTTTTGAGTAATATTATGTCTAAATAGATGTTATGGACTTTTACTACATACTTGTTTATAGCGGTTTTTTATATATACAAAGAACTAAACTGGCAGTTACAAATGCTTCCATTGAAGACCTATGTTCAAAAGTTCATTGCTTTAAAAAATACCTCACTTCTTGGGTTTGTAGACTCTCAGTTTATGTAGTGATCTTTAAAAATAATTTGCTTAACAATTTTATTAATTTAATTGCATTTAATAGATGGCCGACCCAGATCCTGAAACTTTATTAGAATGGTTGAGTAGTGGTGTTGGAGATGAACGGGATATGCAACTTATCGCTCTAGAACAACTATGTATGTTACTATTGATGTCAGACAATGTCGACAGGTGCTTCGAAAGGTATATTTTATATAATAATAACTTTTTACTTTTCTTACGATAATAATTTCTTATTCAGTTGCCCTCCTCGAACTTTCTTACCGGCCCTTTGTCGCATATTTTTGGACGAACAAGCTCCAGAAAATGTCCTAGAAGTCACAGCACGAGCCATAACGTACTATCTCGACGTTTCGGCCGAGTGTACCAGAAGAATCGTCGCAATGGAAGGTGCGATACGTGCCATCTGCAGACGACTAGTCGTGGCCGAATTATCCTCAAGGACAAGCAAAGACCTCGCTGAACAGTGCGTCAAAGTGCTGGAACTGATATGCACAAGAGAAGCTGGTGCCGTTTTCGAAGCAGGGGGACTCAGCTGCATCTTGCCATTCATTAGAGACAATGGTAACAAATTTTGCAGTAGCGAGCTCAGTTTATCAATAATAATTTACTTGTATAGGAAGTCGAGTTCATAAAGACACTTTACACTCTGCAATGGCCGTAGTGTCGCGTTTATGTACCAAAATGGAACCTGCAGACACTCAGTTGCCCACCTGCGTTCAAGCTCTGAGTACTTTGTTACATCACGAAGACCAGCACGTGGCCGATGGAGCGTTACGTTGTTTCGCATCAATAGCCGACAGATTTACGAGAAGGGGAGTCGATCCCGCACCTCTAGCTCAGCATGGACTCGTAGGTGAACTCCTGGCAAGGCTTTCAAGTGCTGCTGGGGGATCGATGGCTGCAACTGGAACAATTGGTGGGGGCTCTAACACTCCCGGAAAATCCGCTTCTATCACCAGCTCAACAGGTGGTTCTACAGCCACTGCAGCAAACCTTCCCTCTGACCAAAAGGCCAACGCTGCCTCTGTCTCGACCATCATTAGCCTATTGTCTACTCTATGTAGAGGATCGCCAAGTATTACACATGTAAATTGATTTTAAATATGTGGTAAAAGACGCTTAATTATATTGTTTTTTTTAATGTTAGGATTTATTACGTTCCGAACTACCCGACGCTATTGAGAAAGCTTTAAAAGGGGATGAAAGATGCGCCCTAGACACCATGCGTCTCGTCGATTTGTTGCTAGTGCTTCTCTTCGAAGGTCGGCGTGCTCTTGGTAAGACAGGGATCGCAGGACCGTCCTCGAACGCGATGCCTCGCATAAGAAGAATGGACTCAGCTGCTGAGAAGTCCCACAGACAACTTATCGACTGCATAAGATCCAAAGACACTGACGCACTTATAGAAGCAATAGAAACTGGTGGAGTGGAGGTAATACGGCTTGAATTACTTCGTTTCATTTTGATATTAATTTGCACATTTTAATTATAAGGTGAATTTTATGGATGATGTGGGCCAAACGTTACTGAATTGGGCCTCTGCATTTGGAACCCAAGAAATGGTAGAATACTTGTGTGAAAAAGGGGCAGACGTTAACAAAGGTCAACGTAGTTCGTCTTTACACTATGCTGCCTGTTTCGGACGTCCGGCCATTGCTAAGGTTTTATTGCGTTACGGTGCCAATCCTGATCTCCGTGACGAAGATGGCAAAACTCCCCTCGACAAAGCTCGTGAACGTATGGACGAAGGTAAACAAAAAAAGTCCTGCCAATAATTAATAGTGAAATATATATGTATATATATTTNTCTGAAATGGGCTCGAGACAAGAAAAATTACGACGAATATGGGAGCCTACCTACACGTATGTATAATTTTTATAGTAACCAATTTCAGTTTAATTAACGTCTAATTTAAAATTTAAAGGATTGTTTATAAAGAGAAAAAAGATGATTTGGGCGGTATGGAATCAGACGGGCGTTCCACTCCCGTAGTTATGGACGAAGGTAAACAAAAAAAGTCCTGCCAATAATTAATAGTGAAATATATATGTATATATATTTCTCCTGCAGGTCACAGAGAAGTAGCTGCTGTACTTCAATCGCCTGGTGAATGGATGATATCGTCTTTGAGCAAAGACAAGCCGAAAAAGTCATCCGAGGTAGACGTAGAAGAAAACGTGGAGCCGAAGGGCGATCCAGAAATGGCCCCAGTGTATTTAGGAAGACTATTGCCCGTTTTTTGCGCCACTTACCAAGCTACCATGCTGGCTTCTGTAAGAAAATCGAGTTTGGGTTTAATAAAGAAAATGATCCATTACATACAACCGGCTCTCTTAGAGGAATTGTGCACATCTACCACTGAATCGGCAACAAATAATTTTGGAAATCAGCTCGTAGAAGTTATAGCGTCCGTTTTGGATAACGAGGTAATTACTGATTTTTCTTTTAGCACTTTTCTGGCACTTGCTATTATCTACAACTTTTTGCGTTTTTACTTCTTACTTTTTGGTGAATAATTTAGATAATTCTAATTAGAAATGTGAGCAAAAAAAAATTTACAAATACAGGTTCGTTTTTAGCGCGCATTACTAAATTTTTCCTTACAATAATTCTCGTGAAACCCTCAGACAAACAAGAAACTAATTTGTTTTTTGTTCTGCCTCCACAATGTACATCGTTTCGATATTCTTTTACTACTGCCTCCTTTCTTTTCATCACTTACGCTATATCTACTGCTGCCCCTCTTAGGTACAAATTCTCCCCTAGTCTTATAAAACGTGGACATTTTTTTTTATTGCTTGGCAAGACGATTTACGAAAAGATCTTTATGTTCTTTAAAAGGGTGGTGTTCGTGTTGTTATTATTGTTAATTGGTCGCTCACTTTTTGCAGCCGACTTACACCTGGTCGAGGCCGCCCAGCACCGTTGCCATGGCGACCCTTGCCGTGTTCTTGCGCCAAAATTTGCATGGCAGGCACATTATACTCTGTCCACCTGTTATGGTTAGTTTTTTGTTACTTATCTTATAAATAATTAAATGCTACTTTTGTTATAATAATAATAATAGATTAAATAATAGCGTAATATCGAACATTCTTCCAATATTTCTGTTCCGTCCCCACACTAAACTAATATCATTCTAATACGTGTGTGACGAGGCTTGTTTTTTTTTTGAGAAACCTGTTGTTGCATCCACGTACGTAAATATATATTTTTTTTGTGTCACGTATGTATTAAAATATGAGAGAGAGCCTGCCTTTTGCAAATGTTGGCGCCACGAACATATTTTAAAATTCTCTGGGCGAAAGTGAGCTTTTTCCTCTTCACAAATGTCGGTTATTTATTTTTTATTTTTTCGCTTGTGTATTTTTTGTAATATCTTTATGAATAAATGGAAAACATCAAAAACATCTTACATTCTTTACAGGAGGATGAAGACAGTCATTTGGTGGTTCTTGCAGTGATTCAAGATCTTATGATGAAGGCGCGTGAGATATTCCTTGACCATTTCGCTCGTTTGGGTGTGTTTTCCAAAGTCAGGCAACTTGCAGGGCCTCCGGAAATCCCAGAGCAAATCGACGGGCCCATACAACAACCAAGAGAACAACAGGCTAATGAAACAGGTATTTTTTAGAAATTTATGAACAGTAGAATGATTAAAAGTGATATAGTATTGTACATATACTTATAATGTTCTTTCTGTAGAAAATGAAGTTGAAAGTACCGAAGACGCTAAGGAAATCCTTCCTGGGAAAGCGTATCACTGGAAGGACTGGTGCGTTTGCAGAGGAAGAGATTGTTTGTACATATGGTCAGATGCAGCAGCATTGGAACTTTCTAATGGCTCAAATGGCTGGTTTAGGTTCATTTTAGATGGAAAATTGGCTACTATGTATTCTAGTGGATCTCCAGAAGGGGGAGCAGACACGTCCAGTAAGTCACTTGTATATTATTTATTTTCCTTTTTTATAAGTACAGTAGACCAGAAAAAAAAAACGAGGCATTAGATTCAGGTAAAATAAAGTCAGGTACATCAATTTAAATTCTTAAGATTAGTTTTTATTTCTATTTGAAATTGTACTTTAAGTGAATTTTATTGTCATTTTGCAAGTTTTTGTGTTTTTCATTTTTACCTTAATTAAAAAACCAAAAGTAAATTAAAACCTCTTTAACAGGATCGTTCGATGTTAATGTTGCATTTTTAATTAATTGTGTCTTTTTGATACAAATATATTATTATTTTATATAATATTAGGAAAGGTTTGTGGTAATAAAAAATGTTATTTATCATTTTCTAACATAAATATTTTCTACCCAATGCTTGTCTTTTTTTTATTGTGTCGTGCACCATTAACTCAATTATCGTTTTTTTTTGTTTGTGTTGATAGGCAAAGGCCGGACTTCTGACTCGCTCACTACCGAAGGTAAGTTGTACATAAAGAACAATGTTCAATTAGTTTTCTTTTTATTTGATTTTTTTTTTAATTATAACTTGATTTATGATATATCCAGCTCAAAAAATAACTCTTTGTCTATGTTTAGAAAATAGAGGCGAGTTTCTAGAAAAGCTACAAAGAGCTAGATCAGCAGTCAAGAACACGACAAATTCTCAACAAATTCTTTCTAAAACCGGACCTGCAAGACTTGTTGTTGGCAATTGGTCATTAACTTCGAAGAAAGAAGGCGAATTACACATTCACAACTCTGATGGACAACAACAGGCCACAATATTACGTGAAGATTTGCCAGGTTTCATATTTGAGTCGAATCGAGGCACTAAGCACTCGTTCACCGCCGAAACAAGCTTAGGTAAATATTTTAAAAAAATTATTTTCATTCGGACATAATTAATATTGAAAATTAGGTCCTGAATTTTCTGCTGGTTGGACAAGTAAGCGTGGCAAGCGGCTACGTTCGAAGACAGAAGCAACGAAACAGAAAGTAAAAAATACTGCGCACGCCATTTACGAACAATACTTCAAAGCGGCTCAGGCACAACCTCGAGGGGTGGTCGCAAAACTCGGCAATATCGTGGCACAAATAGAACGTGCCTGTCAAAAACAATGCACGTACGTACATAACAATCGTGATGCAAGCGCAACAACAGGTGGTGGTAACGCATGGAAAGACATGCTCCGAAACGCCCTAGATGAGCTCACGCAGATACTTCAAGAAGATGGGGTTGTGAGCGCCTACGAGTTGCACAGTTCCGGACTCGTCCAGGCCCTTTTATCCCTTTTGTCGACGAGTTACTGGGACCAAGGGCTCAAGTCGAATAAAACTAGTAAATATCAGAAGCAAAGGATTCATTTGTTCAAACAGTGCTTCAAAGACCATACAAAAGGAAAGCAGAGTTCCATGACAGTGTTAGTATACAAGCTTATATCTGTTTTGGAAAGTATAGAAAAATTACCCATTTACCTATACGATTCACCTGGTTCAGGAGGTTATGGACTTCAAATATTGACTCGTCGATTAAGGTTTAGACTTGAAAAGGCATCTGGGGAAAGTTCGTTGATTGATCGAACCGGACGGGGACTTAAAATGGAACCTCTTAGCACAGTAGGCCAATTAGAACGATATTTACTTAAAATGGTAGCCAAACAATGGTACGACTACGACAGATCCACCTTCCAATTTGTAAAGAAACTACGAGACGCAAAGTATCAAACATTTAAGCATACACATGACTTTGACGAGAACGGAATCATTTATTTTATCGGTACAAACGGCAAAACTTGTTCAGAATGGGTGAACCCTGCCCAGTACGGCCTCGTCAACGTAATGAGTTCAGATGGACGTAATTTACCCTATGGTCGTGTTGAAGACATATTATCGCGAGACTCTTCAGCCCTTAACTGCCACACGAATGATGATAAGAGGGCATGGTTCAGCATTGATCTGGGACTATACGTAATACCAACTTGTTATACCCTACGACATGCCAGAGGCTATGGAAGATCAGCACTAAGGAACTGGCTATTCCAGATGTCTAAAGACGGTCTTTCGTGGACCACCCTGTATGCGCATACAGATGACACATCTCTTAACGATCCTGGTAAGTTATGAAAAGTATTTTATTTAATAATGTTTGCAATAATGCATTCTATAGGATCGACTGCAACATGGCCGATTGAAGTACCTGCTGACGAATATCAGGGTTGGCGTCACGTACGTATCCAACAAGCCGGCAAAAACGCTTCGGGACAGACACATTATCTCAGTCTGTCAGGTTTTGAAATCTATGGTAAAGTGACAAGTATATGTGAAGACCTCGGTAAAGCTGCAAAGGAATCAGAGGCGCACATAAAAAAACAGCGACGCCTGTTACGAATGCAAATGCTTAAGCATATGACAGTTGGTGCTAGGGTAGTGAGAGGTATAGACTGGAAATGGCGCGATCAAGACGGGAACCCCTCCGGAGAAGGTACCATCACTGGAGAGTTACACAGCGGATGGATTGATGTCACCTGGGATCACGGAGGATCGAATTCGTATAGGATGGGAGCTGAAGGTAAAAAAATATATACATCGATAAGACTCCATTTTTATTATTAATATTAATCTTTTCGATTTAGGGAAATACGATTTGAAATTGGCCCCAGGTTATGACGTGGAATCGACTCCTAAAGTGGTCCATCACCATGGTACTGGCATGAATGTTTCAAAGTCTTTAAAAGAAAAACAAAGCGTGTTAACTAGTAGAAAAAGCAGTTCAACTCCAAGTCTGCCTGAAGCTACTGACGCAAAAACAGCCGCTTCAGTGGCTTCCACGGAACAGGCTGCGTCTGCAGATAATTTAGCTGCTAAGCAAGCTGCAGAAACTATTGCCGAAAGTGTCTTATCAGTAGCTAGAGCAGAAGCTATCGTATCAGTCACTACAGAATCACAAGCGGCTGCCAACAATGATTCAGAACTGTCCGTAATAGTGCATCCCTTACGTGATCCTCATCACGACCTTTCCGCCATCAATAATTCCATTAGTAGCGATTTAGCGACTATCGTTGAAAGCTTAGCACTTACAACAACATCAAGTGACTCAAAGAAACAACAACGTTCCAATAAGCAAAGTCTTGTAGAAGTCGTTGAAGCTTTAGATAAAATACGAGAAGGTGGAGGAGCGTCGACTACCACCAGTACAACCACAGACCTTCTAATAAGCAACGCAAACGATATGGTACAGTCGACTAACCAACAAAACAAACAGGCCTCAGCTGCCACCGCCGGAGTACGTATATCTGTCTCAAACAATCACCACAGACATCGAGATTCGTCTGATGTAGAAAAGTCAAAACGTCACTCTCTTAACAAAGACCAGCAGCAACAACCACCACAGGGAGGCAACAAAAATAAGGACGAACAACAAGATTCTACATCCACAGACAGTAATAATGCCAGAAACTCTAATGTAAACCCAATGAGTGTAAGCGTACCAAATTTAGCATCAACTGAAACAGGAAGTCAGATAGAGACTACTTCAACCGCTGGTCTGTTAGAAACTTTCGCTGCTTTGGCAAGAAGAAGAACTATAGGGTCGGTTGCTGGCACAAACTCTTCCTCATCAAATTCTAACAACGTCAGCAACAACATAATCAATTCTAATACCCAAAATAATCATCATAATACTGGTTCTTTTTTCCCACGTGGTCCTAATTCCGTGTCAAGTCTAGTACGACTAGCTTTATCCAGTAACTTCCCTGGTGGCCTCCTAAGCACAGCACAAAGTTATCCAAGCCTTTCTTCGAGCAACAACGTTAATAACGCGTCGTCTGGTGGTGTACCGGTAACTACAGCTACTGCACAAGGCCTGGGACAAGCGTTGACGATGAGTCTCACATCTACCAGCAGCGATAGCGAGCAGGTATCCCTAGAAGATTTTCTAGATTCCTGTCGACCTCCAACGTTATTAGCTGAACTGGACGATTACGAAGACATGGGCGAAGACGAAGAAAATGATGAGGATGAGAACGAAGATGACGCCGATTACGAAGAAGTAATGGTCTCACGAAATCTTCTTTCGTTTATGGAAGAGGAAGGATTTGAAGCAAAACCGGGTAAACGAAGGTCCTGGGATGACGAATTCGTACTGAAAAGGCAATTCTCCGCACTTATACCGGCGTTTGATCCTCGACCTGGTAGGACAAATGTCAATCAAACTACAGATTTAGAAGTGCCACCCCCAGGAGAGGAAGATTCCAATACAAATTCTGAACATGAACTTCTACCCCAGCCAAGATTGCATTTGGTTCTAAAAGGCCCCAATCTGCCCAGCGTACCCGATGTGGAAATAGAACTAAATAACCCCAACTGGACTATCTTTAAGGCAGTTCAGGAATTAGTGCAAATATCTGAAATGGGCTCGAGACAAGAAAAATTACGACGAATATGGGAGCCTACCTACACGTATGTATAATTTTTATAGTAACCAATTTCAGTTTAATTAACGTCTAATTTAAAATTTAAAGGATTGTTTATAAAGAGAAAAAAGATGATTTGGGCGGTATGGAATCAGACGGGCGTTCCACTCCCATAGTCACCGTATTTTCCCGCAGCGGATCTAGTTCTGTAGCGGGAACTACCCTCTCACCTAGTACCCCAGTCCCTGGAACACCTTCAGTTTCCAACTGTACTGTAGAAGACGTTCTTCAACTTCTTCGTCATTTATTTGTGATAACAACGTCCCGCGAGCAAGATTACGATCAAGAACTTGATACTGATCTTACACCTGAACATTTCGCCAGTAAGAAAATCAATAACAAACTTCTGCAACAAATTCAAGACCCGCTGGTATTATCAAGTGCCAGTTTACCAGCCTGGTGCGAAGAACTGAACCAGTCTTGCCCTTTCTTATTCCCGTTTGAGTCTCGACAGTTATATTTCAATTGCACGGCATTCGGTGCATCCAGGAGTATCGTATGGTTACAGACACAAAGAGATGTAACGATAGAACGACAGCGTATGCCAGGGCTGTCACCCAGAAGGGATGATCCTCACGAATTCCGGGTTGGGCGTTTAAAACATGAACGTGTCAAAGTTCCGCGTGGAGAGAAGCTGCTGGACTGGGCAATGCAAGTAATGAAGATCCATTGTGATCGAAAATCTATCTTAGAAGTAGAATTTTGTGGGGAAGAGGGCACTGGACTTGGGCCTACTCTTGAATTTTTTGCCTTGGTGGCTGCCGAATTACAACGACGTGATTTAGCAATGTGGATATGTGATGACGACGCCCTTAGCATGCAGCAACCTATTGATCTTGGAGAGGGCGTGAAACCACCGGGTTATTACGTCAGACGCCCTTCGGGATTGTTCCCTGCACCTTTACCCCAAGACTCCGAAATTTGCGACAAGGCAACCCGCTACTTCTGGTTCCTGGGCGTTTTTCTGGCCAAAGTACTACAAGACAACCGTTTGGTAGACTTACCACTTTCTAAGAGTTTCCTGAAGCTCATGTGTCACGGCGAAATACAGAAGAATGTCAATGAACGTATAGGTTTTGCTGGACTAAATAATAACAAAAATATCGACATAGACATAATGACATCGAGTTTGATATCAGAAGAGAGCGAAAAAGAATTAGAGCTTGATCCTCCCAAAATTAACGCCTACTCTGACGATAAACTCCAACAACAGCCCTGGTATTATGGCATCTTGGGGTCCGAAGACATGCACAATATAGATCCAATTCGCGCCAACTTCCTTAAAGAAATCCAAGACCTTGTAAAGCGAAAGCAAAAGATATTGCAAGATTCGGCATTAAGCGTAGAAGCAAAAGCGCACCAAATACAGAATCTCAGCATAAATCATTCGTCAGGGCCCGTTCTTTTAGAAGATCTCGCTTTAACGTTTACATATGCACCAAGTTCGACCGTCTTTGGTATTCCAGCCGTAGATTTGACGCACAACGGTGCCGACATTGAAGTAAACCTGGAAAATGTCGAAGAGTATTCAGAACTAACCATGTCTTTCTGCTTGGACAAAGGAATCAGTAGGCAACTGGAGGCCTTTTACAAAGGCTTCTCCGTCGTGTTTCCAATGGAAAAGTTGGCCGCTTTCAGTCCTGACGAAATGATGGTCATGCTCTGTGGAGACCAGAATCCCCAATGGACTAGGGAGGACCTACTCAACTACACTGAACCTAAACTAGGATACACCAGAGATAGGTGAGTGAAATATTTTTGTTTTAGAGGTTGTAACGGCATTAGATGTCATTCTGGTATGATACGATAAAAGGTGAAATGCAATTACTAATTTTGGGAAATAACGTTTTAAGGTTGTGTTTTTAAATAAGCTTTTTAATTGTGGCAGGTAAAAAACTGTTTTGTATGGCAACGTAAATGTAGTGATACTGTTGTTATAATGGTTGAGGTTTAATGGTCTGTTCCCTTTTTCGTTTTAAATCCTCTTAGGTTTAGTTCTATTCACAACTTTTTATTGTTCTTTGTTTGAAGTGTCCTGTTTCCACTACTTTCTTGTATCGTGTTTTTTAGTTCTTTAGAGCATAGAATGCTTTCCGCATTTTAACCCCTACACCAATCATGTTGGCATTATGTTTGCACACTTCATCTGCATTTTTATTAATCTAGAAATGCTTGGTTGCTATAGCTATCGTTCAACTAAGCTAATGTTACATTTTTATTGTGTTTTTTAAACAGCCCTGGTTTCTTGCGTTTCGTCAACGTGTTGGTTAATATGTCTCCTGAAGAACGGAAGGCCTTTTTGCAGTTCACAACTGGTTGTAGCTCGTTACCTCCAGGCGGTCTAGCTAATTTATATCCTAGGTTGACCGTGGTTCGAAAAGTTGATGCAGGCGAAGGCTCCTATCCTTCGGTTAACACCTGCGTGCATTATCTAAAACTACCCAACTATCCCACTGAGGAGATCCTAAGGGAGAGACTACTAGCAGCGACTAAAGAAAAAGGGTTCCACTTAAATTAATTTTCCCTTGTATATTTTCCTTTTCCCTTTAAATATGCTTATTGTTTTTTTTGCAAATGATTTTTGTTATCGTCTCTTTGGACATGGGCGAAAGGGAAAAACAGATACATAGCAAAAAAAGACGTTTCTATGGTGACTTAGAAAAATTTTCGATAGGAGAGAGAGAAAAACTATCTAGGGGACGCTAGCAGATGCATAAATCAATTATAAAAATATTCAATCCAATAAAAAGCATTTACTTGGATCAAATACGATATGTTGGTTGTTATAGGCGTACATATGTATACATAACATAGGAATGATCATTTTTCCTTCTCTAGTGATATATAAATATACATATAAAATATATACATGTACAAGTATTCGATCTCTCAAATGGACTATTAAACTGGTAATAATAAATTAATGAATTTACTAAACGAACGACAAATGTATACTGTATTGGGTTTTCCTTTTCCTTTTTTACTATATTTAGTGATTATAATGCGGTAGCGCCGGTTAGTTTTGACAAGTTCCAATGCGGCTCCCTAATTTCAAAAATAAAATCTTTTCGTGGGACTTAAACAAAAACACGATCTACATATTTTCTAGTCGATATATAGCTTATAAACTCGGTGCGGGGGCCTAAGAGCCTCTGTCTTTTTATTTAGGAAAAACTATTTTTAATGTAAATGATCAGAAACGCTTCACCAAAAAACAGTAAAAACGGTCGGTCAAGGCGATAAATAATATATTAATCTGTATAATATACATAAATAATATAATAATTACTTTGCGGATGTTAAAAGACAGTTATTTTAACAATTCCAATGATTTTTCAGCATATTATGGTATTTTTAAACGAATGAGCTTTAGTATGATGGTATGTATTAAATAGCCAATTCGTTTACCATTTTGTTTGGTTTCTTGAGCATTTTTTTGTAGAGAGAGTAAAAAAATGTATTTAATTAAATGTTAACAATTATAATCCGTAGATAGAAGAGAAACTATTTTATTCGTATAAAGTGGTGTTTATTCCCTAATACTTCACAATCCTTATCTTTAATCCTTTTAAATTTACTTTTAATTGGAAGTACATGACCAAGTTTGAAAGGTTATCGTTGTAAAGTATTCTTTTCCTCTTTGCAGAAATTTAACACGAAAAGAAAATCAGATTTCTTATTATAAATACTTTATTTTTGTGGTAATAATAATAATAATCAATCTCAATAATTAAGCAACTACCTAGGTAATATAAAAGGTTGCAGCAGCAGTCAACTTATAAACGTACAACTAGAAATATAACAAATAATTTTTCATTGTACATTATTATATTTTATTTTATAAACAGGCTAGCTAAACATTTTTCAACCAACCAATTTCTACCAAACCTTAAAATTTATAGTCGCATAAACGATATGTAGAAAGGAAACATACAACGCACATGTTTTATTGCAAAACTGTATCCCTTGAACTAAAATATATAGCAACATTAACATTCTCTTTCAAAGCTATACATTTTTAAAAGGGGCATTACTTTATGTTAATAAGATGAATGTATTGGAAACCAAGCCGTACGTACATGTACATTCCGAAAAAAATGCATAATTTTTTTGGATAACAGCAAAGTATGTTCTTAACTATTATATACATACACGATTATTTATATTTTATATAAATTTTTATTTTCCTTTTCGTAATTTCAAATATAAAAAAGAAATATGCCAAAAGATATTTTTCAACGCTTTAATAAATAAAATGATATAAATACATACATATCTTATTTTTAAAACGTGCGCCTGTAACGAAATAATAATCAAATTTTTTTATTATTTCTGACACAAATTTCGCCTGCGGCAATCCAAGAATTATATATTTTGTAAAGTACAATGAAGTAAACAACAAAATCAATAATTGTTTACTTCAGTTACTGTATAAATTATATTTGTATCAAGACATGGGTGAAGGACAAATACGAATGATAGCAATTTTATAGCCACAAGACGACAGTCGAGCACAACGAACGAACAAAGGAAAGATTACTTTAAATTTAATAAAATCTTCGAATAATTTATTAGTAATAAAAAACTTCTTAATACAGTGGTAGCCATTCAATCAATAGTAGCCTCCTGCCTTTGTTGCATTTGGAAAAAAAAAGTGCAACATTTCACGCGCATTCTCTCGATAATATTCGTCAAAATTTTGAATTATATGTGTGTGTGATACGTACATACATGCATTATATTTATATGCGAAATGAATTTATAAAATTACAGCGACTAATTTACTGATCCTTCTTCTCTTCCTTCTTGCCAATTGGAATTGCAGCCTTCACTCTGAAAATAAAATAAATTGATAAAGATTGTTATCTTCAAACATGAAAACGAAAATGAGTAGATTTACTGACTTGGATGTAAATTCGGCCAATTTCGACTTGACAAGCTGGAGATTGTTGTCGATTTGGGTTTTGTTCATTTCATAAACTTTCGGAAGCGTGAAAAGTGCGACCCAAGCTACAAAACATTATATTTTTTAGGTGGACAAAGTAAAAGAATAAATTCAACTTACAAATAATGACCAGGGTCATGCCATTAAACCATGCTCCTAGATAAGTCATACACCATAAAAAGACGGCAAACTTTATGGAATCGACCAGATCTTCAACAAGAAACAGCCTACGCAACTCGTGCAAGACCCCATTCAAATTCGCCACGATTACCTCGGAGACTTCCTTCGTTTTGTCTTGTGGAAGTCCAACTTCAGCCTCCAATATTTCTCTGTTACGAAGATTGAGATAATAACAATCAAAACATAAGGAGAGGGTATAAAGAAGGGGCAAAGTTTCTTACTTGAATGGATGTCCATCGCCAGTTTTTTGAACGGCCTGTACAATGTTTTTGTATATTCGGAATGAAATCGTCCCGGTTAATATCAATAATGATAGATAAGCAACAACGCTGATAAGAGAGAAGTAGGTGAGGGCTAATAAAACGATTAAGACGCCTGCAAAAACGGGACCAGACTTCTTAGGGTCTCTCCAATAAATCAGACTCTCCACTGAAAATATAAAAATATACGTAAGTTAACAACACACACTTTCTTAAAATTACAATTTGCCTTTTTCATTCAAAAAAATCATTTTTTTGGCAGTCCACGCAAACATACAGTAATAATTATTCCAATATTGTTCATTTTTATTTCTAACGACTTAAAGTTAATTACACTTTTATTTATTTTAGTACAAATTAAGTAACAGAAATAACACGTGTCGTTGCATGCGACAATATATTCCCATATGTTCTGTCTTACCCGGTCCTCGTTCGGGCAAAGGGTCACCGTTTCTTCCGCTATTATTTCTATTATACTGTCTGCGAACCATATTTCGAATAATTAGAAAATTCGTAAAAAAAAAACACTACGTTTATCAACGTAAAGTTACCGCGAGACCACGAGCAAGCGTAAGAAATAAAAAGATCTTCGGGTCACCGATCACACGACAGCTATCTAGTTTTTTACTTCTTGTTTCTACCTATAACATCTGCTGAAGTTGAGGACGACAACGTGTTGGTATATAGTATGTGTAAAGAACTGTTATATGTTGAATATCGCTTACGCGGCAACCTAGTGCGGTGAGAGCCACGAGGGAACCCATAGAATTGACTTAAATAATCGTACTTAACGCGTACCTTCTCCAACTTAAAAGATATGCACGCTATTTTATCTCTCTCTACCTATACTTACTCATGTGAAAAGCCAGCAAAATATCAGTCTAATATGCGAAACAGAAAACTAATAACTGCGTATGTAATAAAAGTACATACATATTATCTATAGGGCAATTATAATTAGTCGTTTTCGTTTTAGGTAGCGCAACATGTTCGTTTTTTTGCGGGCAAACGATTTAAGATCACCCACCTGTATTAAATTAATTTCTGAGTTCAACCCAATTGAATTATTAAATGTAATTTAGGATAGTCTCCTCTTAGGTCATACTACATTAAGTAGTTGACAATTTTAGGATTTTATTATCATACGTCATTATTATCATTTTCGAACTTTATCTACGGCGCCTGTCGTGTAAAAAAAGGAAAAGCACAAAACTGATAACAGTAATAAAAATACAATTTAATATGATAAATACATACATATCCAAATATTTAATTTTAACAACGAAGACTATTTGCGCGTTAGGATTTGTTTTGTTGCGTTGATTACCAATTAGAATATAGTTAATTTGCAATGCAAATTGTAATGACTTTTTATTAGACGTTCCCATAATACCGAACGTGATTGAATCATCATCAAATGTATATTCATCTCTATTAAGACCAAGCCGACCTAAAAGCTAAATATAGAGCTACCACATACTGCACACACGTGAACGAAATCCAACTTACAAACGCAACTTTATTTCTGCCCGGTATGCGAAAAGTTAAAACGATTATTGCATATTAAGTTTTTGTTGCAGATCCATTCCCAAAAATCCTCACAGCAACAAATACACAAATCATAAAAAAAAATCTGAAGCCAGACGTACTTTTTGAGGGCGCTCTTGGTCCTGTCTTTTTCCAGAATTGTAAATGGCACACACATACAACAGACCACCACTTCGTTCGCACTAAATTCGCGGATTTTTTCCCGACAACTCAAGTGAACATTGAAGTTATTTTTTTCGACAATCGACCACACCGTCGTCCGAACTAAGCTTAGCTATGTATTTGCAGTAGTCGAAACTGAGCTCCTACCAAATTAATACTGATGCATATATACATCTATACAAACACTCCTAATACTGGCACACACATACACACACACGCACGCCCCTCAATACCTTTATAGCAACACACAACAATGGATGAGTTTTTGCAGTTCAACAAGAAAAATCAAACAAACATCAATCTGGAATTCCTGTAGAACTATTATTATGAGTACTATTGGACAGGATTTCAGGAAGATCTACAAGTGCACTTACTCCTGGTATGTAGACACTCGAATACTCCCATGGTATAGGGTACAGCGTTTCGTTCTTTTTTAAATTAACAAAAAAAAAACAGAAATCTTCTTAATTCAGGCGCACCCACCAAAAATATAGCGATATAGGATGTGTTCTTAATAAATTATATTATTGTCTATTGTCAGATACAAGTGCAGGTCGTTATTATACTGACCGAGGTCGCGTTGGCACAGGGCCGAAGAACCGCTAATTTTGCAACAAATTAAACCCTTTACGGAACCAAATTGGCGCACATAACTATTTCGCATTCGGAAAGAGCGCGTATTGAAGCAAAAATTTTTGTTACTCGCGAAACGCAACACTAATAATACGTTCGTTAATATGACACCCCTATGCGCTTTTCCAACCCCGAAAACGATTGCGGTGTTACGCAACACGCAAGCGCACCTACACTAAATCAATACAAAATTTAATTTTCTTTTCACTTATAACATTCACTTATTGAATGACATCTTATTAAATTGAATAAGTTAAAAATACACAGTAACAATAACATTCATTAAATCATTACTTTCACGATTAGTCATTTTTCTAGAAAACTTACTGTATGATCGCAGATAATAATTATATACATAGGTATCAGGAAAGACCTTTGTCCGTAATGAAACTGTTGCATAATCTTTTGCAAACAACCCAACAATCGAATTATTGAAAACAGTATTTTATCTTTTTTCTTATTAAAAACCTTTGAACAATTCAGGAAAAAAACAGTATTAAGCGGGTCTTTAAGGTAACTATTTACAATTTTTACGGGTTTTAAAACTTACCTCTAGGATTAAGTTGATTTGGACGAAACCATGCATCTGCAAGCCAATCAGTAATTAGAGTATTAGTATGTTAATATAAGAAAAGAAGGAATAATTATATGTACAAGCGGTATCAAAGGAAATATTTACTATTTGTTAGGAAGTAACGATATGTACATATTTTATGAGTAGTACTGTACATAACAACTAAAAACTTTTTGAACAAGCGTACTTTGGACTCGATCAAAATGGCCACAAATTTTACAGCTCTTGTGGATGATGTTTCTAAAATTCCTTTAATAATAATAAAGCTTTTTATAACTTGAATAACGTTAGATATAAAAAATTTAGTACCGGTAATTCGACTTTACTCAAAATCATAAATACGCTTATCTACCTATTTATGAGCGACAATGTTTAGCACAATTTATATTATATTTACGTACATGGATTTAACAAAGAACATGGTACAGACAACCTGCCCTCAGCATCTCCCAATGTACACTTCCCGAAAGAGTCTCTTTTCCCTATTTCTTGAGACACCCCATTTATCACCTCGCTCACCACTTCTTTTGCGACACTTTTGATCTGCTCTTCCATAGTTGCGTTGTAAAATCGTACTTAATTTGAATTTTCGTTACATTTAAGACCTCGCGAGTTTTCTAACGGTTTTTTTTTTATATAACGTTGTCACGCAATAATCTACCGTGTAATAACAAATTGAAGGAAAAGGTACAAGTACGTAGTATGTCTGTACAATAGCGAGTTAATGAGTACAACACGGCCATGAGAGCACATGCGCAAACTTGACTAGCGACGATATGATAACGACATAGTAACAAATAATCAAATATGTATAATATAATAATATTAAACTAAGATAAGAACTTATAAAAGCAAACAGACCAAACAATTATCACGTGCTAGATAATGTAGACAACAATTTTAACACAGCTGGAGAGAGCGTGACTAATGTTAATGAATAATATGTATGTACAGCTCAGTATGGAAATAATGTATTAATATAAGTAGCAAAACTAATCTTAAGTATTATAATGTTAAATGTTTAGTAATTGTTTTGTAGATGTACTGATAATATTTAAGAAAAAGGGCCTCACCTAGTCCTAAGTTGCAGAACAAAGCTTCTGCTTCCAATTTGGTTTTGTTGTCAAGCTGTTTTTCAAGTCGTTGCTTTTCTGAAACTGGTTTCGTTTCTTTGGTTTTTTCTTCTTGTTTTTCGTTGGTTTTTTTGGTCAGTTCACTTTTTTTCTGGTCGATAACTTTCACATCTTCCACCGATTTTTTCAGTTCCCTAATGCTTTTTTCTACTTCAGTTTCAATCAGTTTAGGTTTTTCTTCAATAATTATTTTGCTCTTTTCCTTTTCTTGGGTAACTGTCTTGCTCTTTTCATTTTCTTCAAAACTTGCAGGGGCAGACGGTTTTAATGGCTCATCTAAATGTGGCGCAACTTTAGAAGGACTAAAAGAACCTGATAAATCTTTGTGCAATTCACTTTCACCCTCTTTATCCTTAATCTTATGACTAATGATCGGATCTGTCAGAACTGACTTTACTCCAAAATCGTCTAGTTTGTCGCCTGTTACTGAGATTCCTCTTGTACTGTATGCAAAATCCTGGGGCATATTTTCACGTTCGAAATCCATGAAATTTTGCGTGGACGCTTTTATCTCTTCAAAGAGACCCGGGTTTTTATCACCTTCGATAGTATTGTGATGATCGGTCTTTTGGAAACCGGAATCGGTCTTAAATTCGCTCAAAAAAGTATCAAGTTTATGTTCGACGCGTTTATCTGGAACGGTATCGCCCATTTCAAGTAAATTCAACTCAGCAACTGGTACGTCAGAGGGTGCAGTTCTTTTTAGAGGGTCGAATATGTCTTCGACGACCTTGTCCGCTTCTTTATTGATCTCCGCCGCAAAGTCACGTGCCGCTGAAGTAAAATCTCCCAAAATATCATTGACATCCGACTTATCAGCCTCTTCGCGAGAAGAACTGTCACTGACCAAATGCTCGAAGTCGTCAGGCGAATCTAATAAGTCATTCTTCGCCTTTTCTGCTTTATGCTGATGGGAGTGGTTGTTATCATGTGAATCGGCTTTGATCGGCTGTGTAAAAAAACTATCGTTATCCATTTTATTCGATTATGAAATATTAAGTCAGTAAAAATCACAAAAATTTACGCACTATAGGGATAGAAACACTTTAAAACTGTAAAAAACCGGCCGCCTATATTATACGAAGTGCTGATGACATCAGCAGTGATTCATCACACGCTAAAACAGCAGTAACAACCCGATACCCGACTCCGGACCAACCTTGCAGCTTGTTTTCCTTGTTTTCTTTCTCGCTGCATTCGAGATAGTCCACATGACAAGCACCAATGAGTAAGTGGGATTGAGTCGAGAGTGGGAGAAAAATTAAAAAGTTGGTTTATAATTATTGGTTCACCCATTACAAACCCTTAATTCACCTTACAGGGTTATCAATTGTAAATTATTTTGTTTCCCAAACTTTTCCAAAACACCACGTGCTTTACAATCATGACCTTTATAATGGATAAAGATCATGGCTTTTATTATCAAAAAAAAAAATACTGTCTGATTAATTCCGAAAGTAACATAACTATCCAATCTGTTACTTTTTTCGCAGTGAAGGAAAAAGAAAAGACATAGCATGAACTAAAAAATTAATGTTTTTGTAAGGAAAACTGTTAGTAATTAGAAAAGCAAATGCTTTTGAAAGATATCTATAATGCGCACCAAATGTGTAAGTTATTTTGAAAGTGCATTTAAAATTTGAAAATATGGTTCATGTAGTGACATCTGTGTCATAATGGAACAACTATTTGAATTTCGCGGGTTTTAATATTATACATTTGTTATTACCACTTAAAAACAATCTACGTGACAAATACAACATTAAAATGATAAATATTTTCAATAGACCTTTCTTTTGCGTAAAAATAAATGAATTCGAAAATAGCCCGTCTCCCACATACTAGCATTTCTTGTAATATACTTGGGGCGTGATAAATATAAACACGCAGCATATTTCGCACCTTCTCTTTGCCAAGAGTGACGTAATTATCGTAACATTACGACTAAAAACAAAATTTTTGAGGAACACGAACCACATTGGACGCTGCACAAAAAATGTGGTTCACATATAATACACTTACAAATCAAAAATAAACTTAATAACTACCTGTGCTACACCTGATCTTCCGTCTATCGTCTGTTACCTGAATAATTTTAGCACTAAAGTTGTTTGGAGAAAGAATTGTGTACCTGAATGACTAGTGTGAAACAATTTTACCATTTATATATTAAATTTGAATCCTAGTAAGTACACACATTAACACATTTTTAGTTATTTGAGTAATTAATTGTCTACTCAAATATCTTACATTTATTAGGGCTTATTACCATCCAAGCAAAACTGGCAGTAAAAAAAAAACTTTTTGTTGCTTTGGTTGCACATTGCACGCAATGTACCGGACATGTATATGTACACATACATTTAAACTTTTTAAAAATAGAAAATATATTTACTTTTTTCCAATGCATAAATTAATAAACAATCAGAAAATGTTTCTGTCAGTGTGCAGTGATATAATCTTCAGTTTTTACTAAATATTCATATATGTTTATTTATCTTATATAACTGTTGAATAGGTACTTATTTGATTGTTTATTTTTGAATACTAATCCAAACATATTTTTATTTTTTCAGGCAATATGAAAACCCCATCAGACGAAAACGCACAATTGTATGCTCAAGAATTCAACCAAATGTAAGAAAAATATTGTGCAAAGATTACCTACCAACGTTTGTTTAATTAATTTTTAGGACAACATTGAAAAATAACGAAATCAAACTTCCCCTTGAAAGTACAGAACCCATCAACAAACCAGATGACACGTATATACCTTTTAATAACAGAGACGTATCACATCCTAATTCGTAAGTACACAAAATGTTTACAAAGAATAATATGTAAAATAAAAGCTTTTTTCATTAATTGTAGGTCTATTGGTGCGGTGATACATCTCGTTAAAAGTTCACTCGGAACTGGTATTCTAGCAATGCCTTATGCTTTTAAAAATGGTGGTTTAATTTTTGGTACCATTGGTACGTTAGTTGTTGGATTTTTGGTGACTCATTGCGTCAATATTTTGGTACGTCTATTATTCATCATTGAACCGATACTCTTAAAGCATGTTCTTTTAACACAGGTTAAGTCAAGTCACGAAATTTGCAGACGATCTAGAACACCTTCGTTGGGTTTTTCAGAGACAGCAAAGACAGCTTTCGAGTACGGTCCTCAATCCATCAAACAGTGGGCGCCATTTGCAAGGTAAGTGCCCTACTTAAGTTTTCTTAATAATTACCCATAATTCCGAATGATAAAATGTACAATGAAGTTGATTTTGGGAAATTATTTCGGTTGTTTATATAATTTTATATTTTGCATTTATTTGGCTCGATAATTTATTGGAACTGTTTGATATATATTTTTCAGTGTTTTTGTAGATGTCTGCGTAGTGACAACTTATTACTTTGGTCTTTCTGTCTATGTTGTTTTCATTGCAGACTCAATTCAACAGGTACTTTTGATGCCTTTTGAAAATGCTACACTCTTACGTATTATATTTTAAGCTTATAAAATTCGTGCGCTTCTTTAATTCGATATTACGTTATATATTATATGCTTAAGGCATATTAACTACTTGCGCTCATTTCTAATTAATAACAAGTGTGTTGCTGGCGTTGCTGTTACTGTGATGATTGTGATACAGTACTTTTTTTAACCCAATAATGCTTCATACAGCAGGTATGTATTACTAAATTAATTTTTGTACAATTAACCGGCTATATGTATATAATATATACTTTAAAATTTCTAACTATTATCAATTTTCAGTTAATTCATCATTACCTGAAAACAAATTGGCCGTTGACCTATTATATGCTACTGTTATTAATCCCTTTGGTTCTGATATGTCAAGTCCGCGAATTGAAGTACTTGGTACCGTTTTCATTCTCTGCCAATGTATGCCTTGTTGTTACATTTACGATAACGCTTTACTACGTTTTCGTTGATTTGCCTGAAGCGGGCGATCTTCAGATGATGGGGTCGTTTTCGCAGCTCCCCCTCTTCTTTAGCACCGTCATATTCGCGATTGAAGGCATAGGAGTCGTCATGCCTGTTGAGAATAACATGAAACATCCCCATCATTTTCTTGGATGTCCTGGAGTCCTAAACATAGCAATGTTCATTATTACGTCAATTTTTACACTCATAGGATTTTGCGGTTATCTGAAGTACGAAAAAGATACGCAGCCAGCCATCACAATAAATCTACCGGTTAATGAAATGTAAGAACATCGTTTCTGAATAAAGTCTTGTAACGTCTTTGGTGACTACTAACGTAGCATTAAAAAGAAGAAAAGTCTAAAGACGTTGCAATACTCGGATTTTCATTATAGTTACCATTTAAAATCTTTTTTTTTCTAGATTGGCTCAGGTTGCAAAAATATGTGTAGTTTTAGCGGTATTTTTTACGTACGCATTACTCTTCTACGTCCCCTACGACATTGCTTGGAGGAAATGGATATCCCCGAATATACCTCCCAGGTATTCGAACTTAGGTCAAGTATGTGCCAGAACGGTGTTGGTCAGCGGAAGTGTTGCCATAGCAATAATGGTTCCTGGTCTTGATTTAATTATCACATTGGTGGGAGCATTGTGTTTCTCGACACTTGGTATATTAATTCCCGTCGCAGTTGACACAATTGTAATGTGGGACAGTCCTGGTGTCTTTAATTGGAGATTGATAAAAAATGGATTCCTTTTCGCCTTCTACTTGTTCGCCTTGAGTACCGGAACTTATACAGGTATTATGGCGTTTTTTAATTAAGAAGAAGATCAGTTAATTAATTAAAAAAATGTACAGAAATAAATACGGTAATATTTTTTATATTAACGAGACGTTGAAATACAGTTACGGTTGTAATAACTTGAGTTTTGATTTAAGGAGCGCGTAAGAGAGGCAAAAAATATCGAAATTGAAAATGCAACTGCAATTTCATTATTTTATTCGATATTTTCTTTGCTTTGAAAACATCATTATTTTAAGTAGGTATACATCATAAATCTTGAGTCTTGGTGTAAATTATAATAACATTAATAGAATATTATTTATTAAAAGGTGGTGCGCACGCGTGTGTATGAGCAAAAACAAACTTTTTAACCGTTTTTTTTCTAATATTTATGGTCGGCCCCTCAAAAACATAGAACAGTTCGTTAATAACTAATCCTCTACTTTTGTCCAATTAGACAAGACAGTATAAAAATAAGAAAAAATAAAGCACATACATCTTATGTACATCATACACTTGCCATTGTATAAAAAAATAAAACCGCGCCCCGAAAGCGCCTTCAATAATATAATATTAATAATAATACAAAAAAATATATATTTTAAATACAGTGCGATCACCTTTTCTCCCATAGCATGTACATTCCTGTTTGTACCATTTGAAT